TTTCGTTCATCTAAACGCTCAGCTGACCTTCTAGAACCCGACTTGTTTAATGGCGGAGTTTACCGAGACCGCCGCCATCTTGGACACGCTTCAGATTTTTAAATGCGAATATCTAGTGTGTGGATTGATCAATTCTTAGATAAATTATATATTAGGCCTTTCCAGTAGGGTCTTTATTACCATTAATTATATCAAAGAAAAATATTGAAAAACAAAAAAAGTTGAAATAGTGTACATTTTGAATTCACTTCCTGTAGCGACCGGAAGTACTTACGACGCAAACGAAGTCAAAATTGCACATTTATAACTCATGGTCTATCATCTCTAACAAGTCTCCAGTTAATATCTTTAGCCGTTTTTGAGAACACTCGAAGACAATATTGCATTTTAAAATCAGGAAATTGCCCATAACTTGGCACTGGTAGCGAATTTTCCAACAAACGGAATTTTATATAAAATTCATATGATGACCTATAATTCCTGAAATTTTCATTGAAATCCACCGAATAGTTTACGAGAAATCGCCTGCACAAAATTTTGTCTAAAAAAAAAGAATAATAATAATAATAATAATAACTAGAAACGATCTCGTTGCAAGCAACGAGTAGGTCTTCCGTCCGATTCCGAAAAATAACCCATAAAATCGAGCTGAAAATGGATTAAACATATTTTGGACACATTGGGAATTGATACGGGTCACGAGCATGAAAATCCAATACGCTTATCGATTACGCTATTGAACAACTACTCTTACTTCACTTGAATGTACATATAATTCTGCAACAGTTAATCTGTCTTGGAATTATGAAAGAAGGGTCACTATTCATAATTTCGCGCCAAACGCAACGAGTAAATCTTAGCGAATTTCTCTTGGAATGTTCATTTAGATAGGTGAGATAGCTTCAATCAAATAACAAAAGAGCGTTCTTATCGCCTAGCCTAAATTTTGAGGTGTGGAAAGTATAACACACACATGAAACATATCGTATATAGGCAAATAACACTAAAGCAGCGAAACAGCTATTAATTGGTAATTTTTCAATTTTCAATCACGAAAGTTGACTATGCCGATTACTTACACTTTCATGAAAAAGGTGGTATGTTTCACCAAAAAAAATGCCTCGATCGCCCTACGAGGGTCAAACCTTTTCGAAATAAGATTCTATTATCTTCAATAACTTGCATTGAGAAAATAAAATGTTTATATAGGTCAATTAAACGGTCTTTGAAAAATTGTTATCTTTAAAAATAAAATATTTTCTTATTGTAACAGTTGTCCTTTCTATTGATTTAATATGACACAAGTGTGCATGGGAAAACAGTGGTCACGTTTTTTACCTACTACATTCTTGAAAAACTATTAATTTTAACTATGATTTAAGCTATGTGTTACCGTTATGCAAAACAAAAGATATAGATATTGTACTTCGTTTGCACATCAATTCTTTTCTATTTCTACTTTGAGAAACAACCAAAACCAATTAAAGAAGACTTGTAAGTAGACCTTGGATAATAAATGTAGTTTGACACCGAATTGCAACGAACCTAGGCCTACGACGTGACAATCCAAGTATCCCTTCACATTTCATTGTTCCTTATGTTACTTTCGTTCAAGCAAACGCTCAGCTGCTTCTGTAAACCCCTATTGCGAAATGTCGGAATTGACAGAGACCGCCGCCATTAAGATCACGCTTCAGACTTTTGAATGTTAATATCTCGAGTTTGAATTCATCAATTTACAAACAAATTATATATTCAGCCTAATGAGAAATGTTTCTATCAACCATACTAATATGATTTGAAAATATTGAAAAACAAAAAAGTTTAAAAATTTGACTTTTTTTCTTTGCATGCCGTTACGACAGGAAGTAGAGACAACGTACAAAAGATCACGTCTTCGATAGTTCTTATCACGATCTATAATCCCTGAAAGTTCCACAGTGATATCTTTAACCGTTCTTTAGATTATCCACGAACAATATGTCAATTTAAAATCAGATAATTGTCCGTAACTTGGCACCAGAAAGGAATTTCCAAAAAATCTCCAGGATATAGTAACTGCATATAGCAACACATTGTTCCTGCAAATTTCATAAAAATCCATGCAGTGGTCTTCGAGAAATCACGTGCACAAAATTTGATGGTCAGAAATATTATAATTATAATGAGCTCAGGCGAGCTTCAACGCCTTTTGCGCTGGAAAGATATAGACTCAAAAAAGCAATTAAGCAATCCTTCCTCTATTTTCACTGAAAATCTCAAGTCAATATCTTCATTCGTTTTTTAGTGATTGCCCGGACAAGCTGACCCTTTTAAAATCAGTAAATCGTCCATATCTCACGACCGGAAGTGACGACGTACTTTTAAAAAATTTCCAATAAGGTTCAGACCAATATCTATCAGATCTGAAAGTTTCGTGAAAATCGACCAAGCCGTTTCCGAGAACTCGCTTGCACAAAAATCGGTAAGAAAAAAAATAAAAATAATAATAATAACTAGAGCAAAGCTCGTTGCAAAGCAACGAGTAGGTCTTCCGTCCTGTTTGACCGGAAGTAACTGTCATTTTTTTTAAAAAATGAGTAATAACGCCCAAAAATGGATTAAATACTCTAAATATATGTTAATTAATGCAAAAAAAAGCCAGTTTTTGCTACTTCCGGTTTGACCGGAAGTGATGACAACGGATGGAAAATTAATTTTTAAGCTCCCAGAGACATAT